GGACTAAAGCACCTGCTTAGGCAGAGCGCAGTGGCCAGGGTTTGTGCTGGCCCCGCCCCCAGGGCACGCTGAGATGGTGACTGAGACTGGGTGTGGTGGCACACGCCTGTAATCTCAGTGCTTGGGAGGGTGAAAATAGGAGAATCACTAGGAGTCCGATCTCTGTAGTGAGACCCTGTACTAAATACAAAAATGAAAAATAAATCCAGAACATGAGCACTTCTCACAACCGCTTCCACACCATGTGAGACCATCTAAGCTAGCACAATCTCTTACTCGAACTACTAGAAAATCTCTGAACTGGTCTCTGAGCTTCCACTTTCGCTCTCTTTAGTTCAGCCCTGGAATCTCTCTTAAAACTCTTTCCAGAGTGGTCTTGGTGCCCAGAATCTCACCCCTACTTCTTCAGTACTGCCTCCTACTAGCACAGTCTTGCTCATCCCCCTCCGGTAAGCGGCTGCCTTCATCCTCTCCTGGAGGCTCCTCCCCAGCCCCACCTCCCTCAGGTCTCTGGCCACCTTTAACAGCAGAGCACCCTCTACCACTCTGTCCTCTTCACCCAACCCTGCTGTGCTTCCATTTGCCTTTCCACTCAGAACGTGGACTCCACAGAGCAAGGTCTCAGTGCTGCTCAGGATTGCATCTCCCAAGCTTTCATCAATGTCTGATGCATGGGAACACCTCAATACTGTACTTGAATTTTCTGTATGAAAGAGTGCAAATGAAGTATCAACAAGGGAAAACCGAGGATGCTTGACTCCTAAAATAGGCAACTGAGAGAGATGATATAGAAGAGAACCCATACTCGGCCAGCCATCAATCCCCGAGCCTGCTGGGCCAGCCCCGCCCCCAGGGCACGCTGAGATGGCAACTGAGACTGGGCGTGGTGGCACGTGCCTGTAATCCCAGTCCTTGGGAGGCTGTAAACAGGTGGATCACTGTGAGTCTGATCTAGTAGTGAGACCCTGAACACCCTGGAGACCCTTCCCTAAAATAAAAAAAGAAGAAGAAGAAGAAGAAGAACCCATCCTGGAGGGAGGAAGAGCCTCTTAACAGGCTGGCTGTGAGACATCCCCAGGCATCCACAGGAGCCTGCAGCAGCCAGCAGATTTAGGCCAGAGCCAGAGGTGAGGCTCTCAGAGTAGCCTGAGGTGGTGTCTGACTAGGGAGAGCGCGTGACAGGATCAGGAAGGACAGACCTGAGGACTCTAAAGTGGACTGCTCACAGCTACAAGGTCAACAGAGGAAATGAAAGCCGCAACCGAGTGGTCAAACGCGGGCCGCTTCACAGGGGCAACGGGGCCTTCCCAAACTTTCTGAAGATGTATCATGGAAGGTATGAAAATAACCTAGGAAGAGCAAATACAATGGGAAAATGTAAATATTATCTAAGAGACCAATATAAATGGTATATACCATATGATCAAATTATTTTTAAAACACACAGTCGGCCACAGTGCT